CGCTCCCCACCCCCACCCTCCCCGATGCCTGCCGCGCGGCCGTTAGGACAGCCGGGCCCGTGACGCACCGACGCGCCGCCAACGCCCGGGCCCAGGGACCTGAGCTCGAGCCCCTGCCGGCGCGCGCCCTCGCCCCGGGGCCTTTCACGGGTCCCGCCGGGGGCAGCCGGATCCGCTGGGGGAGGAAAAGGGGACCGCGGCAGCTTGGCCCCAGAACTCACCAGCCTCAAGGCAGCCGATCCCGGTGCCGCTGCGGAGGTGAGCCGTTCGTGGGGCCGTCCGCCCGACCTCTTCTGTGCGAAGCCTTTAAGAGGCAGCCAGCGCCGCGGCGGTGCTCACCAGGCCTCGCTCTCCGCCACCGCGCACCGAGCACTGAAACCCAGCTCAGCCGGCTTTCGCAGTGCGCCTGCGTGCGGGGCCGGCCCGTGCGCATGCGTCCGTCCTTCCACCGCCCTGCTGCAGAGCTTGCCGGGAAATGTAGTCTTTCCGCTCTATGTCTCTGAATTCTCTTGCCTGTTAAAACCTGTAAAAAGTCTTGGATGGGGAGAGGGTTTACAATCAATGGCATGGTTTATAACGTAGTGGTAAAGACAGCACTTACTGTATTGCAAAATTTTCTTACAAACCTGTTTCACTAGGCTTTTTCAGGGCTTTTTGGGTCTCACTCAATTCTTCTCGGTGTCTATGTCTAACTTGGCATGTTCCTAATATATGTTTACAGGATGATTGGAGCCCGAAGGAGCATTGTAAAAGTTCAAAATTAGTTAAATAAATGAATGAATGAATGAATGGGAGGGGAAAGTAAGTGATCACAAATCTAAGGTGTTCACATGCTGTATAGTTGCAGGAATTTCCTATGTATTCCTTTACTAATTCTTTAATATCACCATTGTATAATAATATCTCAAATGTATCAGAGATGGTAAGAATAGTTAGCAGTTGAGCTCCTAACTACAAAGGTCAGAGGTTTGAACCAGCTGGCCAACTCAGTAGAAAAAAGATAAGGCAGCCTGATCCCATCTTAGAAACTCAATGGGGTAATTCTATTGTGTCGTGTAGGATTGCTGTGAGTCACAACTGATTCCACAGCTTTGAGTTCTTGGCTTGAAAGCACCTGCTTTGGTTTATGTTTCCCACCTAGGCCATGCCTCTCGAGAACCATGAGACCCAAAGCTTTGCTCAGTATTTCCGCCACTGCTTTCAAAATAGTGAACCTCAAGTGCTAACTGATGGTAGATTTACCTGTCAGGGCTTCCTTTTTATCTCTAGATTCTAAACTCACAAATTCTAACTGCCTTGGTAGCTCTTCAACACCTTAGTGGTTGAGTTTTGTTTATTCGTTCCCTGTAAGAAATTTGGTCCACAAAACAATATGCCAATGGTGGAAACAGAATTTCTACATACATATTACTGTGGTGTCAAAGGTTTATCTTTTTTTAATAAACAAAACCATTTCATCTTCACTTTATTGAGTTGGGTTTTTTCTTCTTCTAAGTACTGCAAGAATGCATTGGTGTTTTGCAAAGGTTTATCTTTCAAAATGTCTTCCCTAGGTGATGATTAACTATTTCTTTTGTGCTTTTTAAAACTTATTTATTCATATTGTATTAATGAGGAATGGGTGTGTCAGAGGCAGTGCAATTGACACAGGATAGAACAGGGTTTAGGGCTGTTGTATGTAGGGTCTAGGGTCACTATGAGTCACAATGATTGGAGGGAACATAAAAACAACATTAATGAGGGAGGGTTGGGGTAGGAAACAAGCTCCACCCTAGGAGAGCAGTTTCAGAAGACACAGTAACTAGTATAAAGGGAATAGGTGTGTCTGAGTCAGTGAGACTGGCTCAGGATAGAAAAGGGTTCAGAGCCATTGTGTGTAGGGTTGCTATGAGTCACAAGGAACTTGATGGCACATAACAACAAAAACATAACAGAATATGCAGAGACCTAGAATTAGAGAATAAAAAGAGAAGAACTGAAAAAAATTTCAAATAAAGGTAAGAACTCTATCAGTATTTCTCAAGCTAGAAGAACTGAAAAACAAAGTCAAGTCTCTAGTTGCAATACTAAAATCTTGAATGATCCAGGAAGCATCAAATGAAGATGGAGGGAGTACACAGAATCTCTGTACCAAGAAGAATTGACCTACACGGAAATATTTCAGATAATACCATATGATCAAGAGCCAATGCTAAGGAAAGAAAGAAATTCAAGCTGCAATGAAGACAGGGAGGCGGGAGTGGGCGGGGGGAAAGACTCCAACAATTGATGTGATACCATTTGACATGTTTCAAAACAGATGCAGCCGTGAACGTGCTCACCTAGGCTATGCCAGGAAAAACGGAGGAGAGTTTTGTGCCAACTAACTGTTCCCATTCCCAAGAAAGGTGATCCAAGGGAGCTCTGGTGGGCTTGTAGTAAGAAGCTACACTGCACTCCGGAAGACCTGCGGTTCTAATCCATCAGATGCTCCGCTGGAGATGGAGAGGCAATCTCCTCCCGTGCCAGTCAGAACCAATTCAATGGTAAATAGCAACAACAACCAAAAAACAAACAAAAAGATGATCCAACAAAATACAATTTCGGGTTACTCAGTTCCACAATCAACACTCTTTTTGTGTCTGTATGTGTACCGTCAAATTGGATTTGACTGGTACAGGAGGAGATTGCCCCTCCTTCCCCAGCAAAAGAATATCTGGTGATTCAAACCACTTACCTCTGATACTGAAGTGCAGCTTCTTGCCACTAGGCCACAAGAGCTCCCTCACAATCAATACTATTAACACCAGCAGTCAGGATATCAAAAGACGAATTGCACTGGGAAAATCTTCTGTCAGGGACCTCTCCAGAGTGCTGAGGAGCAATAATGTCCGTCTAGAGACTAACATGCACCTGAACCAGGCCATGGTCTCCACAATTACTTTCTATGCATCAGACAGCTAGGCAATGACTAAGCATGACAGAATTAGAATTGATGCTTTTGAGTTGTTGTGCTGGAGAAGAGTCTTGATCACAAATACATAGGTCTATCTATTGTCTGTTTCCAGCCTCGTTTCTATCACCAAACTCATATTTTCCAACTACTGTTCCATCTTCACTGTTTCCCACTTTTGCATTTCAGTCACTAATTGTCATTACTGCATCCTGATTACATGTTCGGTCAATTTCAGACTGCAAAATTTGATTAAAACTCTCAATTTCTTCCTCTTTGGCATTAGATGTAGGAGCATATACTTGAATAATAGTCATATTAATGGGTCTTCCCTGTATGTGTATGTGTGTTATCCAATGACTTACTTGATAGAACTTGATTTTTTTTTACTATGAATGCAACACCATTTTTCTTCTGTTTTTCATTCCCTGCATAGTATCATATGATTATCTAATTCAAAGTGGCCATAGCTGGTCCATCACATCTCATTAATGCCTCATAAGTAAATATTCATGCGTTCCATTTAATTTTTAACAATATCCAATTTTCCAACATTCAAGCTACCAACATCCCATGTACCAATTGTTAAATGATATTTGTTATTAATTTTTCTCATTTCGATTAGCTTTCAATCTGGGCTCTACCAATACACTACTATAACTATGCTCTTTGTTTAGTGTTCATAGAGTTTTCAAACGCCTTTTTATTTAGGAAGTAGATGGTCCATCTTTCTTCCTAGTCTGTCTTAACCAAAGGGAGCTCCACCAAAACTCGTCCAAAATGGGAAATCCTTTTGGAATTTGACACACCAATGGCAAAGATTTCAGTATCACAGCAACTCCAAGTAATCACAGTACAGAAAACTGACAGACAAGTGCTGCACCACTTATAACAATGTCCAATGGGATACTAATTGACTTGTTTCAATGAAAAGATGCACTCACCAATCTATGCCAGAACAAATCTGTGTTTGTTCCTATTCCCTAGAAAGGTGATATGACTGAACATGGAAATTATTGAACAATATCATTGATATTACATGTGAGCAAAACACTGCTGAAGATCATTCCAAACAGCTGAAACAGTACTTATATAGGGAATTGCGAGAAGTTCAAGCGAGATTTACTAGAGGCCGTGGCACCAGGGACATCATTGCAGATGTCAGATGAATCCTGGCTGAAAGTAAAGAATACCAGAGGAATATCTATTTGTGCTTTATTGATTATACAAAGGCATTTGACTGTGTGGATCATGAAAAATTGTGGCTGACATTGAGAAGAATGGGAATCCCAGAGCACTTGATTGTACTCATGAGGAATCTATACCTGGACCAGAAGGCTGTTGTGTGAACAGAGCAGGAGAGCACTGCATGGTTTAAAATTGGGAAGACAGTGTGTCAGGGATGCATTCTGTCTCCATACCTGCTGAATCTGTATGTTTAGCAAATTATCCAAGAAGCTGGACTCTATGAAGAAGAGTGTGGCATCAGGACTGGAGGGAGACCTACATTATGCAGATGATACAACCTTGCTTGCTGAAAGTGAGGCGGACTTGAAACGCTTGTTGCAGAAGACCAAAGAATGCAGCCTTCAGTATGGATTTCATCTCAATAGCAAGAAAACAAAGATTCTTATCACTGGACCAATAAGCAGTGTTATGATGGATGGAGAGGAGAATGAAACTGTCAACAGCTTCATCTTGCTTGAATCCATAATTAACACCCTTGGTATGAACAGTCAAGAAATAAGGAGATACATTGCAATGGGGAAATCTGCAATTAGGGACCTTTCCAAATTATTGAGGAGTAGTGATGTCAGTTTGAGGACTAAGGTGTGTCTGATGCAGGTCATGGTCTTTCCAATTACTAATTATGCATCTGAGACCTGGACAATGAATAAGAATGATAGCTGTGGTGTTGGACAAGAGCACTGAACATTTCATGGACAGTTAAGAAAACTCATAGATATGTCTTGGAAAGGATGCAGCCAGAATGCTCTTTGGAGGCAAGAATGATGAGGCTTCACCTCATATACTTAGGACATAATGCTAGGAGATGCTATTCCTTGGAGAGGGACATGATGTTGGAAAAGGTGAAGAGTCAGCGAATGAGAGGAAGACCCTCGACCAGGTGGACTGACAAGGTGACTGCTGCAAAGGGCTCTGTGTATCAGGAAGTGTGAGGATGGTGCAGAACAGGATTGGTTTCAGATCTTTTGTTCATAGGGTTGCTATGAGTCGTACTTGACTCAATGGTACTTAACAACATCCTATGCCAGGAGCACAAATAGATAGGTCTGTTTTGGAGAGGACAAAACCAAATTTCTTCTTGGAGACAAGGATTTTTTTTTATTTCTTTTTTTTTTTTTCAAGGATTTTGAAGCTCCGTCTCACATACTTTGGGTGCATGGCCAAGAGAGACCAGTCCTTGAAGAAGGACATCATGCTTGGAAGAGTGGAGGGACAGTGTAGGAG